CCATTTCCACTCCTGCTCCATCCGGATTTGATCTCTCAAGACCACAGTCGGTTACTGCACCCAAACCTCTGCTCCCTTCACCTAACTGCCTGGATGTTATATGGCTGAACCTGGAGTAGCAAGCTTGTTCAGAACAAGTTTGACAGGTCTTGCTGGGTAGTAGGTAGCCTTAATGGATGGCTTCCTACCTCACCAAATGGAAGTGTTTTTTGATAGAGGCATCCTAACAAGACCTCTCTCTGACTTAATCTTCCCTTCAGTCTATCATGGACTACTTGCTCCATCTTAAGCAACAAGGTCTGACCCTTGCATCTATCAAGGTGCATTTAGCAGCAATTTCAGCTTTTCACCCACAGGTGAACAGCAGGTCAGTGTTCTCTGATGAAATTACAGTCCGCTTTCTTAAAGTCCTGGAGAGATTTTTATCCTCAGGTTCATGAGCCAATCTCTTCTTCCCCTCCCCGGAAATGTGTTGAGGTTCATGGGTCCTCCCCAGATGTTGGTATCGTGCACTCTACTGCTTCTCTCTTGGAAGGTCGCCTTCCTGGTAGCAATCACCTCAGCCAGAAAGGTCTCTGAAATCAAGGCCCTTACACCAGAGTCACCGTACCCGGTGTACTTCAAGGACAAGGTCCAACTGCGCCCCCACCAGACCTTCCTACCAAAGGTGGTTTCTCAGTTCCATAGCAACCAGGACATTTTCCTGCCAGTCTTCTTCCCGAAGCCTCACAAGAATTCAGAACAGTGGTGGCTTCACTCATTGGATGCTAGGTGTGCCCTCACCCTCTGCCCTCTTTCGCAGATCTACAGAACTCTTTGTGGCAGTAGCAGAAAGGATGTCAGCCCAGAGAATCTCATCCTGGATAATGTCCTGTATTCAGGTATGCTATGAGCAGGTGAATGTCCTACCTCTAGCTATCGTGATGGCTCACTCTACGAGAGCTCAGGCCTCTTCAGTAGTGTTCCTCACCCAGATTCTGATCCAAGACATCCGCAGGGCCGCAACCTGGTCGTCAGTGCATAACCTGTCATCCCGCTATGCCATCACCTGTCATCCCGCTATGCCATCACCTAACAGGCTTGAGACTGATGCTAGGTTCAGGAGAGCTGGTTTGCAGTCCCCATGTTCATGAACTCTGATCCCATCTCTGGCTACTGCTTGTGAGTCACTTAACATGGAAAAAATGGTTACTAACCTTTCTGTAACTGTTGTTCTTTGAGATGTGTTCCTTATGTCCGTTTCATAACCCATCCTCCTACCCCTCTGTGGGAGTTGACTGGCAAGAAGGAACTGAGAGGGTGCGGGGCTGGTGGCACCCTTTATACCTGCATATAAGCGCAGGGCACCAGAGGACGCTAGAGCCAGCCCAATGAATAGTACTGGTAGAAAAATCTCCGGCAACAGTGTACGTGGCACACACAGACACCTAACGTGGAATGGACATGAGCAACACCTCTCAAAGAACAGTAGTTTAGGAAAGGTTAGTAATCCATTTTATTTAAGGAAGTTACATATTTGTCTTGCAAAAGTCAACTTTGGTTAGTGACTCTAATTAAAAAGTAGGTTTATGTGGAATCTACACAGCTTGTTTCTAAGAAATTTAAAGCACACTATGCAAGCCCTTCTGTACCCTTTTACTGAAGATCTGAGATCTCAGCATTGTTATGCTAGCAAAACACGAGTAGAAAAACATGGAATTTATTAGATTGTTTCTGTTTCATAGTACTGAAAGATTGTGTAAGTATGCAGTCGAGCATTGCTTTTAAGACTTTCACCAAGTACATGATACAGAACTATAGATCCCACATCAGTGTCATACATAATACAGGGTACCCTGGTCAGTATCAGAAATTATTGTGGAAAGCTTGAAAGAATTACTACTTAGCAGGTGAGCAGAGTTCTCCCCATTTAGCTGTTGTTGTAAATTTTAATCTCCATAAGTAGATCAGCTTTATAGAAGACATATATATTTACTGAGAAATCTGTGGTTTGGGTAGAGACCTTGGCATTTGGTAAAGTGCCATTTCCTGTTACTGTAAAAGCTTGGTTTGGCAAGTACTTGGTATGTGTACAATTTAACTTAATGTATTCTAGTTTTTCCATAGTTTTTCACATCTCATACTAACAAAATGGCTGTTAAGTCAGATTTACCAGTACGATCCAACCTCTATACCTCGCAGGCAACAAGAAAAAGCCGAGTCTGGATGTAGCTGGCTGGTTGAGATTTCCCCTATCAATGGGGAGCTCTCAGCAGGAATAAAGCCTGCAGAGCCAGCTCTGGCTTTCCATTGGGACGTTTGGATGTTGATCCTCAGCTGTCATATGGTCCTTGAGGGCTGACTATTGCTCCATCGAGCTTAGTAGCATGTTCCAAAAACAGTGCCCTGTATCTTCAAAGAAGGTGAATTTTCCTCAATGTATCGGGCCCATTTTGTAGGAGTGGGTGGAACTTTCCTGAGCCTCATTGACTTATGCCTACAGTAATGTCCTGTAAGGTCAAGATTTTGGAAAGTGGCTAATAATGATTTTGGGGTGCCTAACTTGAGACTCTGTAAAGGGGCCTGACTTTCAGAAAGTGCTAAGTACCCTCCCTTAAAGATGTGTCAAACTGGCCATCCAAAATCCAAGACACTGAAATCACTAGTCACTTTCTAAAATCTTGGCCTAAATTGTTAATTCAGCTAGTGAAGTTGTAAATGTTTTCCCTATTCATTTAAAACGTTAAATATTTTTAGCACCCAATCTTGCAAACCTCAACATGTGCCTAACTTTACTTTGACAAACGGGACTACTCATGGTAACTAAAGCTAAATGTGTGTAAATCTTTGCAGGATTAGGGCTGTATTTTGCTTAACTACCTGAATATTATTTGAATTGCACAGGTTGATTATAGTATGTATTTTGATGATGAAATCTCTTTAATCTTTTTTAAACTTGCTGCCTTGAATGTCAAATGTCTCCTTTTATTCTCTTTTTAATCTCTTTATATGTAAAACCGTATCTTCTCTTCTCTTCCTCATAATACTCTAATCCAGGGGTTCTCAAACTCGGGGTTGGGACCTCTCAGGGGGTCGTGAGGTTATTACATGTGGGGTTGCAAGCTGTCAGCCTCCTCCCCAAACCCCACTTTACCTCCAGCATTTATAATGGTATTAAATATTTTAAAAAGTGTTTTTAATTTATAAGGGGGGGAGGTCGGATTCAGGGCCTTGCTATGTGAAAGAGGTCACCAGTTCAAAAGTTTGAGAACCACTGCTCTATCCTGTTAGCCTTCACTGAAGCTTTCCTATTTTGACTGACCAGTTTGAGAGACGGTGATCACTGTAGCAACGGTAGGAAGTGTGGATGGGCATGAATTCTATAATACAATTATAATTGTTTCTGCATAGATAACCTTTATTTTCTTCGTGTAACAGTCCTATTTCTGGCTGCTAAAAACAGATGCTACATAAGCCTGAAGAAACTCATGGGATCAGTGGCTAATAGGAAGAGAAGTGTAGTAACCCATCTCCTGGCACTTCCATGTGCTGCAGCAGGGATGCTGTCCTGGGGAGAGAGATGGCCAATGAGAGGGGAGCTTGAGCTGGGGCCACGGGCTTGGAATCCGCCCGAAGGGGCAGTTGGAAAAAGCCATTGGAGGAGGTGAAGAATTGAGTTGCTGGGCTAGTGGATGAACCAGAGCCTGGCTAGGCGGTCGGGGATACGAGAAAAGAAGAACAGGAGAATAAAAGTAGGGGACTGGGAAGTGAGGAGGAGGAAAGAAGGAAAAGAGGAAAGATTTCAGGTCAGGAGAAGCGCAACAAAAAAAACCCCCCAAACCTGGATACGTGAGCAGACACTTAGAGAAGAAGAGGGAAATAAACTCTTAAGACTTACCAGAGAGTGAGCCTCAAAAGGAAAAAACTGAAGGGAAACAGAATTGGTGAAAAAGGTAATTGATCAAAAAGTTGGGTTAGATGCAAACATCCTGGAAGCAATAATGAGAGCCTTCCCTCCGCCCCACCCCTAAAGTACATGAACAGAGAGAATTACTGAACCTCTGATGGAATACAGTTCAAAGGTGACTAATGGACAAGTGAGAACCCAAGAGGTGAAGAAACTCCGCTTGTGGATAAACTCGGTGACAAAGAGGTACAGCCACATGAACACTGAATCTAAGGAGCAATCTGAAGAGAAGCAAAGAACAGGACAGCAAGAGTGGAGTTGGACTTAGTCAAGGAGAGGAAAAGTTGGTTCTTTGAAGTGACATAGTGTATTGTAATCTCTTTTGTTCTTGTTAGTAACAATGCATTTGGTATTAACTGCCCACCAGGTAAAAGCTCATAAAGGTTAATGAGTTGGTAACCTATAGTTTATTACTATAAATAGTAAGACTTTTGGTAACGTTCTATATTATTGATGCTTCTGGTACAATTTTGGGGTTTTTCTTTATAAAAGTTCTAAAAATTTAAAATGATCCCTTTGTCTTGGTTTGCCCCTTTTCACAGCCTAGCCTAGCCAGGTCACCACAAATTGACACACAACCCTACAACCTCTAGTCCTCCCATCAAAGAAATAGTAACCTTTAAAAAAAAAAAAAAGAAGAAGAAACTCTGCAAGACCTTACTAACAAAAGCAACAATATCCATGTAATCCTCATAGTTTCTTTCCTCATAACAGCTCTTTGCTTTTCATGGTTAAGCCTTAATATATAATGTGAGCTCTTTAGGGTGGAAATTATGTCTTCTGTTTCTCAAGTGTCATGTACATTTGTGGTATGAGGTTTCACCATACAGTAATTGCCCTTTTGAACTTTGCTTTATAAAATATTACAACCTCCCCAGAGGAGAGAGTGCTACATTTCAGAATGAATTTTCCCTGCTTTTTAAGTTTGCAGTGGGTCTTACCATTGTGCATGAATAATCTCTGACCTTTATGCTGAGATTTAACACCTATTCAAAGCACACACAAAAAATTGTCCATACTGTCTAAGCTGGATGTTTTGTGTAACATTCCTTTTAGCAACTGCAATTGTAGAAGATCATAGAATACTCCACAGGCTAAACTCTTCAAAGTTTCTTCAAGAACCATCATCAGAGGTGAGACAACTTTTCGCTGTAATGGACTTTGATTCTTACATAATGAAGCAAATTCTGTTGGAGGGCACTCCTCCACAATGAAACATAAAACTCCCTTTACCATCAGCCTTTTCCTGATAATAGGTGCATTTGCAATAACAAACAAAAGTTAGAATCCATAAAAAATTCCCAGGCTTGACATTGGATTGTCCCTTAAGTAAATCCTCTGCTGCAAGTACAGGAAACAGTCTATAGTATGCAATTATATCCTGTGTATCACTTCTCCCAGAGGACACTGTTTGCCAAGTATATGAACCCACACCATTAGGATTAAGTTGGAACAGCTAGTTCTCTTCCTTACTCAGGTTGCTTTACTTGGTTGATTGGCCTGTTTTTTCCATAGAAATGCATTGCCTATTATTTAAATTAAATACATGGAAAACCGTCCTGAATGGCTGAAAAGTAATTAAGTTTCTACTTGTTATCTCCACAGCAGTCAACAATATTATGAGGCCTGGGACAGTATCAGCCACTGAGGTCATATAGGCAATCAACTGCAGCATGAGTTCATGGAAAAGCATTAGAGTGATGTGGAGCTGGGTCAGGTATTTTAACATTCAAACCTAAGTTTCATTAATGCGATCTACTTCACCTCTCCACATCCCCCAAATTTCTAACCTATTCTCCCCTTTTAAAATACTGATTTTTATTAGCACTCTTTAACCTCCTATACCCCTGCATAAATTTACAAGCGTTGTCATGTATTATCTGTTTATGGCCTTGATCACTATAGTATCTGAACACATCACAATCTTTGATTAATTTATTCTCACAACACCCCTGTGGTGTACAGCAGTCTTGTTATCCCCAATGTGCAAATAGCAGAGTGAGGCACAGAGAGGCTAAGGCCCAGGTTGTCAAAGGTATTTCAGCGCCTAACTTCCACTGGTTTCAGTAGAAGTTAGGGGCCCAAGGACCTTTTGAGGACCTGAGCCTTAAAGTGACTTGTCCAGACACACAGGAAATCAGTGATGGAGCATGGAATTGAATTCTAGTCCCAGGCCAGCACCCTAACTTCTGGACCATTCTTCTTATTGTAACAATGCAGTTGCTCTAAACATCAGGTTTCTGTGCTTCCCCTTGCCCCAGTAATTCCTTAATAACATAAGAATGGCCATACTAGGTCAGACCAAAGGTCCATCTAGCCCAGTATACTCTCTTCTGACAGTGGCCAATGCCAGGTGCCCCAGAGGGAATTAACAGAACAGGTAAGCATCAAGTGATCCATTCCCTGTTGCCCATTCCCAGCTTCTGGCAAACAGAGGCTAGGGATAACATCCATGCTCATCCTGGCTAATAGCCATTGATGGACCTATCCTCCATGAATTTATATAGTTCTTTTTTGAATCCTGTTACAGCCTTGGCCTTCACAACATCCTCTGGCAAAGAGTTCCACAGGTTGACTGTGCATTGTGTGAAAAAATACTTCCTTTTATTTGTTTTAAACCTGCTACCTATTAATTTCATTTGGTGACTCCTAGTTCTTGTGTTATGAGAAGGAGTAAATAATACTTCCTTATTTACTTTCTCCACACCAGTCATGATTTTATAGACCTCGATCATATCCCCCCTTATTCATCTCTTTTCCAAGCTGAAAAGTCCCAGCCTTATTAATCTCTCCTCATACGGAAGCCGTTCCATAATCATTTTTGTTGCCCTTTTCTGAACCTTTTCCAATCCCAATATACCTGGCATTGGCCACTCTCAGAAGAGAGTGTACTGGGCTAGATGGACCTTTGGTCTGACCCAGTATGGCTGTTTTAATGTTACCAACTTAAATTAGAACATAAGTTTAGGATATTAAATCCTGACCACTAAATCAGAAACCCATCCTCCTATATTTATCCAGTTACAAACTGTAATACAGTCACTTCATAATTTTCAACAAATCAGTATTTCCTGCAGGATCATGACATTTTCCCTGAGCATTTTAATTTACAGACCTTCTTAAAACCAAACTGGTAATATCTTATTACATATAAGGATTGTCCTAGCTTAGATAAAAATGTGTCTTGGATTTTTCTAGCTGTGCTCAGAGATCTTACACAGTACACTGAATATGCCACTGTGTCAAGGAACTGTGAGGAAACTAGCATTAAAAAGCAGTTTACTAAATTTTTTAAAGATCTCTGATTATAACATAAGTAGCGATATAGTAACAGCGAGTAGCCAATCCTAGGGCTTTCTGGCAGAGAACGTGGGAATTGTTCGGCTGCTCAAAGCTAACAAAATCTTGCCTAAAGAAAAGGAGTACTTGTGGCACCTTAGAGACTAACCAATTTATTTGAGCATGAGCTTTCGTGAAAGCAGATCTAATCTTCCTTCAGCTTTTAAAAATCTAATTAGAGTGTTGTTTGTGTGTAATGAGTAAGTCTGTTGGGCTCAGGATTTTTATTTGCTTGACACAATTTTTACAACAATGTGCGTTGCTTAGGTGGAAGGACATTTTTAGTGTTTTTCTTTTAACTCCAGGAGAGAGATCTTTGTGGTGGAGCAGGGAAGGATCAGGATGGTCTTTCTTTCTTTCTTTCTTTCTTTCTGAAGAGGCTGCATCAGTTCCATAGAAATAAATGTGGCAGCAGCATTCCTCTCACCAGTAATGTAATGCAGGTGGATAGTTCTGTTTCCAGCTCAGGTGAAGCTTTGTGTTGCAAGATCTTGAAATACATTTGAGAAATACTTTCTGATTATCTGTGTGTGCAAATTTCCTGGCATTTCTGGGCTCAATTCTGTAAAGGACTCTCCAGATGCTATAGTTGAACCCTGAGGAACTGTAACTGTAAGGTTTCAGAGTAGCAGCCATGTTGGTCTGTATCCGCAAAAAGAAAAGCTCACTTCAGCTGTAGCTCACGAAAGCTTATGCTCAAATAAATTTGTTAGTTTCTAAGGTGCCACAAGTACTCCTTTTCTTGTAACTGTAAGGTTATTCTATATTTAAGATTCTGAATGGAATGCAACACATGCAGACCTAATTAAGGAATTTCAGCCGTCTATAAACCCATCAGTAATTTATTTTCCAAGCTTCCATCAAACCGATGTTGAAAAGCAGCTCACTATAGTTGTGCATAATATGTGCATTTGATGTTAATTTGTTGGATTACTTCATTATCATTTACCAGTTCACTTCAGTGATGTCATTCGGCTTATATTTAGCTAACTGCATGTCTGAATATGTAGATTCATGTGATGTTGGCCAGCTATTTAAATGAAAGCATCTGTGTTAGAGAAGAAAAATCTAATGACCAAGAATAGTAAATCACTAATTGCCTTTGAAGGGTCTTACCCTTATTTTGCAGCAGTGCCCAAAATGTGCCAGACACTATACAGTACAAACATACGGTAACAGAAAGGCAAAGTGACCAATGTTAGGTTAGGCACACGTCTTTTTAGTTACCATTTGGTTTTTATGAATTTTCTTGTGGTTTTGTTGCTTTTATGTATAAACTATCTCCAATTATGTATGAGATAATGCCCCTGAACCTAATCATAGCTAACATGTGTGAGCTATCCTGCGGTAAAAACACAGAGAAGACAAAGCATTTTAGTTTCATGAGGTAAACTTGTCAAGATCAGTTCCAGGTGGGGGAATAGGACTGACCATGGTGAGTTTACTTCGTGGTAAAACGAAAGCACCCTGTCTTCACTTATCCCGAGGTAAAAAACTTCTTTTTTAACAGTGAAGACAAGCCCTTTCTGGGATGTGTCTCTCTGCAGAGATTGGTTCTCACTACTTGGGCCAGCAGAGGGTTGTCAAATGTTTCATGTTCTTCTCAAGCTATCCCCATCCCTGTCCAGCACTTGGGGAAACACTCATAAGCTTCAAAGGGAACAACAATTCTTCCTTGACAAATAAGAGAATTGGTCTGAAATCAACAAGATGAAATTCAATAAAGTGTAAGCTACACTTAAGAAGGAAAAATCAAATGCACAACTACAAAATGGGGAATAATTGGCTAGGCAATAGTACTGCTGAAAAGGATCTGAGGGTTCTAGTGGATTACAAATTGAATATGAGCCAACAGTATGGTGCAGTTGTGAAAAAACTAAGATTGTGACACCCATTAGTAGGAATGTCGTATGTCAGAGGTAGGTATGGGAGGTAATTGTTCTGCTACCCTCAGCACTGGTGAGGCCTCAGCTGGAGCCTTGTGTCCAGTTTTGGAAGCCATGCTTTAAGAAAGATGACAAATTGGAGAGAGTCCAGACTAGAGAAACAAAAATGATTAAAAGGTTTACAAAACCTGACCTATGAAGAAAGAATCTGGGCATGCTTAGTCTTTATAAAAGAAGACTGAGTAGGGTCTTGATAAGTCTTCAAATATGTTAAGGCTGTTATAAGAGAACATTTTGATGAGTATATGAAGCATCTAATGCTGTTTCTGGATTGCAACCTAGTTTTATGGTAACACTACTGGGTTGCATAGAAATATATATATATATATATAAAATATAAAAACTGGTATATGAATATTCTTTTTATTTTTAAATGTAATACCCATACCTGCATTGGAAAACCCAGTAGGAGCTATATGTAAAATTGATTATTCCCAGTAGGCCGCTCAAATTGAATTAGTACATCTATTCTAAAGGACTCAAACTTACAATCAAGTTGTGCAGGATTCTCTTCAGCATGATTGAATTATTCTGGCATATTGGTGTTTGTCTCTGATTGCTTCAAATTCATCCTTGACAACAATATCCCAGAAAAAGCCACAGAATGCTGACAGCGCTTATCAACCCCAGCTGCTGAGGAAGAACATTGAGTGTAGCCAGCCTACAGTATGTCATGGAGAAAACATTTCCTTATTCTGTGCTTTCCAAGTCACTGATGCTGCTTCTATAAAAAACAGACAATGGTTACTTCATGTTTGGCAGCCTCAGACGTGACAAAAGAGAGTACTCTGTAAATCAGCTTCATAAGGTTGTTACCCTTCTCTAAGTATATTACCCTTCCTTTCCTT